CATTTTGTTTGGAAATTGATTCTCAGTTCTTGATATTTCGGTCTGAGAATTCGTACATGTCTTTTACTCCCCAAGAAGCTGCTCATTTGTCGGAAACGCCAAGATAGACACAATYGGAATGAAGTTATTGTATGGAAGACTTTTTTATTTGACGAGATATATTCACAAAATTTGGCAAGGCAAAAATAATGCAATTGCAGAAAGAATTGCTCCAATCGGGTCACTACAGCTTTAAGCTGCCTTACAAATTCAGGCAATCATTTCCTTACGAGAAATTAAAAAACTTCATATTTCTTCCATAAAACTTTGACCGTTTGTGCACTCACACATTATGTCACACATATACATATAAACATATCTTTGGCATTACAACTGTAAATAACAGGTAAATGCTTCTGAGTGAGGCAGCTGTAACCACAAGCMGGCAAGTATATAATTTCCGACCGGTATGAACTCATCAGCATAGATGCCAGYGTTCTTTGTGATTAGAACAACAACAAGAGCGAGACAACGAGAAAGGAGTGCTGGAAAATACATAGTCCACTTATGTGCAAGCAAGTGCTGCATATATGGCGAACGCAAAACTATAAGTTCAGGTAAAGGACTATCAAGGAAAGGCACAAAGACAGCAAAAACAGCAAAAACAATAACACGCAATATACGCTTGACATGTCAACAGCATAAATATTTACATTTTGATTGCACAAAAGTCGCTTGTGGAATTAATTTACATGCGACAAATGGGCGAAGACAATGGCGGCGTCGAGGTAGAGGGCGCAGAAGCCGCACCAATCAATTGAGTCGTAAAGCGTGCATGTATGTACATGTATGTATAATGGAGTCTGCAAAGATGGATGGGAAAAAACGGAGATAAGAGACGAGCGGGGAGAATAAATACTGAATTGAAACCGTTAAACCAGAAGAAATTAATGCTTCAAAGAGATGGGAACGGCAAAAAGCGGAGGGCAAATAAGACGCAATAGTTGTAATAAGATTCGAGGGTTCGTAATAATATTCGTGGATTTAAAGTTCGTTATTGCCCTGCCAATCCAAATGGTTGTAGTATCTTTCTTAGGAATACGAACCGTCGGTTCGAGTTTGGAAACCACAGAGACGAAGTCCGACGCTCGATTTGCTCGTATTATGGATTCGTCTAAGACTCGAGAGCCCCCGTCAAAACTTTGAGTTTATAATAGGACTGAGTCGATTTCAAGGATTCATTGAACCATGCGTTACAATTCATTGTTCCTGTATGAAAAATGTCGAGTAACACTAAAGGAATTTAAGAAACCAAGATTTTGACAAATTTCCATAATTTTCCGTCACACTGTGTTTTTGAATAATGAAAGCACTTAACACCGTTGTTTCCCCAGCAGTTATGTAGACGAAAATACGCAAACACATGTAACTGTAAATACGMAAATATTGCAAGTATTCGTGGGTTCGCATACGGTGCTTTTGAACATGGCCAATCTGCTGGCAAACTGACCTAGCGCCGCGAGCGAATTTTCTCGCTTTCATAAAATGCAACACCTGCACATGTGAACACTCACATACACACATACACATCTGCACATGCACTAGGGCAGGCGGAGATCTGGAAAGTGTTACAAGGTTCCGGCACATTCTCAGAGCACTTCAAAGAGTTTCTAGCCATTGGCGCTACATCCGGTCAAGGAGGCAACTTTTAATGAGAGAGCTGAGATGCACGAACATCTAAATAAACATGAAGGGGGTGAAATAGTTGTTGCAAGTTTCAAATGATTCCAACCTATAAGAAAAGTCGTAAGCTTTTTCAATGGGAAATTTTGTTTGGTGGTTGGATTGGTTTAAAAATATCATCTTTAGTTCAGTTAACTTGAAGTTTGATCAACGCGCTGACTTCTGTTGAGGCTTACTTACATTGCATCTTGTTTGCATAAGTTTGTTTTAGCTTAGATTAGACTTGTTGGTTGTTAGCTGAGCTTTTAGTAAGGTCGCGGATATACATAAAAMCTTGGCAGCAATGAGGCTTATGTTTAGATAACGATTTGTTTGATAAATCTGTAAACATATCCTCAAATAGTACCTATTCTCAACTGCGAGTAAACTGCAGGAAGAATGCCACGCAAGCCACCAATGAAATATGTGAAGTTTATAGAGACATATCAGTTCCTGTAGGACAGCAATGGCTTACGTGCTGGAAATTTCGCTGAGGAACTTAAGATTCATTACCAAATGGTTTTGAACCATTTAAAAGAGGCTGGCTAAAAAAGAAGCTCGATGTTCGTGTACCACACGAATTGTCTGTGAAAAATTTAATAAACCGAATTAACATCTGCGATTCATTGCTGAAACGAAATGAAATCGAACAACTTCTGAAGCAAGTGCTAACAGGAGACAAAAAATGGATCAAATACGACAATAATGAGTGAAAAAGATCATGGTTCTAGCGTGGTGAAACTCATAAAATGGTCGAAAAACCTGGATTGATGCCTCGAAAGGTTATGCTGAGTGTTTGGTGGGTTTGGAGAGGTATCATCCGCTTGAGCTGCTCCTGCCTGGTCGAATTACACACTTTGATGGCTCTACAACCGAACTAGACCCACAGTTCCCAATAAAGCAGCTCATTTGTTAAATCCGAATATATCTGAGGGACATATATCGAAAGAATTCGATTTTTATGACGCCTAGATTTCACATCTGCTTTTTTGAKTAAGGATTTTTGCAGTTATTCAGCATGAAAGGCTTCAAAAATTAWTCATACGGCTTCTGGTATTCTGCAATCGATTAGACTATTTAAATATTGTTGCGCATCGATACGTTTATAAAGTTCAATAACTGATGCGACTAATGTAAATCGAATTCTGTGTCGATAACCATTCCGTAGGCAGTAAAGCGACACCACAGCAAACATTGACTGTATTAGAATATGTCGRTGTCAAAGCAAATATTTTCTAATACTCACTCACATGCAAAGAGATAATACTGCAATTCAAATAGAATTAATCGAATATATCTATGTGAGCATACATATTCTTACTTAACTTCAATCTATCTTATGCTAATTTATCCACTCAACTTATGATTGACTATGGAACCAGCGCGTTCACACACACACGCTTACAAATGCAGCTGTGATAGCTTTCATGCTGCTGGTTGCATATAAATGACATTTCCGAGAGATTTACCTTAAAGCCGATATCGAATGATCTAAGAGAGAATCCGTCTAATTTCAACGACCAATGCTTACATATCATTTTGTTTGAACAGTTCAGATTAGCMGTCGTTTGCCTGTTAGCTGTCGATGTATAAGCCGCTTTGAGCGCCACTTTGGTCCACGCACGACAACACTTGCAAAGCTGAGTCATCAAACTTTGATATTGTGATGCGATTCCGCTCCCGCATGTCCGCTGCGTCGCCGTCTGACTTGGGAGACTTTGCTGCTGCACTCGATAGCTCAAATGTATGCAAATCACTTGCGGTTGTCGTAACACCTGCCGCACACGAACGGCTAAGCTCGCAGCATACCGCAGGAAGCGCACCGATWCTCGGTCGCTGTGTTCTCTATCGTGTCGTAAATGGCTGCTTGCTCRGTGGATTGCGTGTGCGATGCGCTTCTTAGTGGGGTAATTTTGAACTGTAATGTTAGTTGGAATATTTAATAGGCGAGCATTGCCATTGTCTCATTGTAATCCGCTTAGACGCTTTGTTTACGTTGTCGTCGTTGCACWGATTATTATGCAAATTGTCAACTTATTAGGCGTGGGTGAGAGCTTAAGTGAGCAGCGCTAAGAGCGGGTGCTCRATACACCTTAGCTGAGCYGAGCTGAGCCACCGAAATCATCAGGCATAGCCCACAAAGTGATTTTATGTGCTCAGCAAATAACTGGATAAATGTTTTCTGCGAGTTTGTCTGTCGTGCGGAGACGSGGGAAGTTAACAAGCTGATTGCCATGTGATAAACTGTAAACACAATCTTAATTGCTTCTTTAGGAGTTTGTTTYCGCATTCAAAATAAATAGTTGACTAAATTTTGTTTGTTCCTCGTTACTTTAAATATTGCAAAGAAATGAAGTTGAAATCATTTTGCTGTAAAAACTGGTGACATAATCTTTAGAAAGGTTATAAAATCAGATGGAAACCCTGTTTCAGAATWTTTTTGTAGCACAGGTGTTTCAAACCTTCCGAGCGACATTGCTTCGCTCTTTGGGCTCTTGAAAAGTTCGAAGAACATCCGATGTTTTCGAGTTAAATTTTTTTTTAAAGATGAGGCCCATTTCTGGTTCAATGGATACGTAAACAAGCAAAATTGTTGCATTTGGGGCGAAGAACAACCTAAAACTATTCAAAAGCTTTTACTTCATCCAGAAAAACTACGGTTTGGTGTGATTTGCGAGCCGGTGCAAACATCGGCCCATATTTCTTCAAACCGTTATCGCGCTTTAATAAACGACCATTTGATGCCTGAAACCGAAGCTCTTGATCTCAGCGACATTTGGTTGCAACGAGACGGCACCATATCCCACACATCGCATCAATCAATAGATATATTGAGAGAACACTTCGTTGAACAGATAATTTCACGTTTTGGGCCGTTCCATTGGCCACCAAGATCATCTGATCAAAYGTTGGGGGGATATGAAAAGACTGAAGTCTATACGAGGAATCCTGCTTCAATTCATGCCTTGGAGCAAAACATCATGCGTGTCATTCCCCAGTTATAAGTCGAACACCGAGTCATCGAAAATTTTACACAATGGGTGAACTATCTGAGACGTAATCATCAAAGAGAGAAAAGAGATAATCTTCAAAAATAAGTCTCAAAGCATGTTCCTTCGAATGAAAATAAATATTCCGCATTAAATTGAAGTTTCTGTTCTTKTTCTTTAAAAAAAGTAGAAAATCTCGAAATCAAACACCCATTATTAATAAAACAAAGGTTTCAAATATTCAAAGAAAGTATTTATTTATATTCAATAATATCAATAAATTATATTTTTTAAGTCTAACTTATGAATTTAATTATATGCAATAGAATATTAATTTATATACTTTCAATCCTAGACTATGCTTGCCTGTTCTCCGACAGATAGCCCTCCCTCTCCGCGTCAGTCGCATGTACTCGGTATTGCTTCGTGTTCGGTGCTTCAGACGACTGTTCAATGCTATTTCTCACATAAACGGGAGCTAGGTAGGGCAGAGCGTGGGTGTATGAGACCTTCGGATAGCTGGACTGATAGTTATATTGTGGGTACAGCGTGGGCTGATAACCGCTTTCCGAGTAACTTGCGATCTTCGCATACGAACGAGTTTGTGTACCGCTCTCATCGCGTTTCACTTTCGAATGCCTTCCTCTAATTGGAACTTTGGTTGGCACGGRGCTGGAGTCTATGTGATCATTTGATGGTCGTGATTTGGAGGTGAGCTTCGGTTTCTGTTTTTTGCTAGTTGTCGGTATCGTTGAAGCTGATGTTGACTTTTTCGCCTTTGTTGAAGCTTTTTGGCTCTCCCTAATGCGCTCATCGTAATATTTTTTATAGCGTTCTTGGTCTACTGCCGCAAAAGTGGCTCTGTTAGGTGGTGGACCATAGTTGTAGCTGGGTTCAGAGCTTTGTGAAGGACTCTTGCGATTTACGGCGCCCTCCTCAATGGAATAATGGCTTGTATAGCTGCTTGGCTGAGGGTTGTAAGAATCGCTTGGGTAAGTGCTTGGGGGAGGATCTGAATAGGCGTCTGGAGGGGCGTCGTAATAAGGACTAGAAGTATCGCTTGCGGGAGAGGAGGCAAAAGRGTCAGGATAGGCACCTGGGTAATTGCGAATATAAGGGACTGGATTATTTGTTGCGTAAATATCTGGATAGGCGGTAAAAGCGTTCGGCTCACTGGAATACGGATTGTAGTAAGKTGGTTGCCAATACCAGGGATTGTTATAACTACCGTAAGGCGAGTATGGACTCTGCGCTGCCGAGTATGGATACCCAACAGCCGGTGATGGTAGAGGCGCTTGATGTTGAGGTACATATTGAGTTGGCGGGGCCACTGGTAGTAATACMGGGTATGGTCTATGTTTGCTGCGCTTACGTTTTGGCCGCTTGGTTGTAGTATCATGATAATCATTACCATGCTTCTCATCTTCTCTCAGCACAACAATACAATTTACAACTGGCGCCAACTTGTTCGTATTCCACGGCATTTCAATGCTGCTAATATATTCCCCGCTGTGGTCTTCATGCGAGTGATCTTCATGGTACTGTTGTTGAGCATAATGATGGTAGTCTTGCTCCGAACTTTCATGACTCTCATTGTCGTCTGAGCGGCCTTTTCGGCTGTGACGCTCATGGTAACCGTGATACTCGTGATGATGCTGGCTTTCTGGGTTTTCTTCAGTTCTAATGACACAAAGTGGATAACTGTCGTTGAGTGTTTTCTGCGCCGGCATAAATGAGCYGAAGATATTGGGGAAACGCAAACTCGTAACCCAGCCCGTAGTCAAACCGGCTAACGCCGCAAGGCCACYGTTTATAAGACGACCCTCCGATACAACCGTCTCACCATCGGTTAGGCTGAGTATGGCCTCATACTCTGCCTGTGAGATGGGTCGAAAGTTTGTGAGTTTTTCCGGTTTTGTATCTATGCCGGGATGCATACGTTAGGTGAAAGCGAATTGAATGCCAAATAAGTTTAAGCTTACCTCCGTTCGCCGCGTGGAATGACCAGCAAAGCGYTGTGACCGCCAACAACACGCGCTGAATTAACATTCCGTAAGATAATCGAAATCTGCTTTGGATCTGAGCTGCTAATAGATTCACATGCGTTGCCGAACTGACTAACTGAACTCGAGCGACACTTTGGCCGGCGCATTTATAGCCTCGCTTCAGTGATTGACTTTCGCAACGATGTCTTTTGTTATTCTAATTGGATTCGGTTCGGCACGGATGTGTGTTCGGTGGCTCACAAGTCTGTTGGTAGAAGACTCCGACACTCTACMACATTGTTTTGTTTGCGATTTCTTTTTATTTTTCTTTTTCTTTAGTAGCTTTTACTTACAGCATTTTCGTTCTCTTTATTATTTTGGCTTGCTTAACTTTCGCTCCGAAGATAGCTGGGCTGTATTCTTCTTATATTTTTGTTGGCTGGCACGGCTTTTGTTTGCATTCTATTGTGTGACCTACTTTCTTATGCGAAAACTCAACTTCTCCCACAAAAGATCCATCATCATTTCGATTAATTTGTGCGAAATTATTTTTATTTACTCACAYACAAATATTTTATTGCTGCAGAACATCGCACTTTCTTCGGTACGCATGCATTAAAGGGTAGAAGAGCCAAAGTCGCTTTTGCAATATTTGCGTGAGGTTTGGTGAGAAATTTGTGATGGATTAAGATAAAAGAGTGTTGGATTTGGTCATAACTGTATTGMGGTGAGTACTACTAACAGTAAATGAAATATGTGTGGGGTTTTTTTTACGGGAGAAAATTGATATTAATATTATGATAAGAAAGGAAATGCGAATAATTGGAACCGATGAACTAGTTATGATTATAGCATTAGCAATATTTCTATAAGATTCTAGAATATGTATTTTGTTTATTCAAGCTTTGCTTTGCGACGTTCTAGCGCATAGTTTGAAATTTTTGAAAATATAATAAAGATAACTTGAAAATGTAATCAAATGTTCTTATGATAGATGCTATTTTGGTGCCCCAAGGTCAAGACTAAAACAAATTTTACTTCAAGTTAAAGTTAATAGTTCGGTTTATGATTGGAAAAACTACATTAACTCAAAGAGAGTTGACGCCAATCTGAAATTTTGTAGAAACTCGTAGGACAAGGCATGAGGCTTAAGAAGTATAAATTTGTATTGAAACGAGCCAAACAGAGGTTTTTACCTTTTGTTGTTCCTCTTATACCAACWTGACGAATTTCTAGCACTGCTKCCTTAACTTTTCCGATTTTCAACGATTTCAARGCGGCATAGAAAACACAAACTTTCTGGGCAAAGTCGTTGTAACTTTTTTCCGCAGTAAAAATCGCGATATAAACTTTCCGCGTCGAACTTTAGTAATSTTGACATCTCTCTTCCAATCCGCCTACCAAACTCAGMCAGCAACTTCCAAGCAAAAGTACTAGACATTGGAAGAACCTGCGAAGTTCCATTGAGTAACTATGGGAAAATAAAAAAGCAACCATATATGCGAACAGCCAGGCGGCATTGCTGCGTGGTGAACAACTGCAGGAAGGCTTTAAGCTMRSTGGTAGGTTAGCTCCATTTGTTCATAATTTGCGTTCACGGTCACAAGAATATTTTTGCCAACGAAAAACGGACCAGTTGGCAAAGCTAGAAACCTCTTTAGACGAAACCAAGACGTAGTCAATACCATGCCCGTTAGGAACGATCAACGATCATATCAGATGGAACTCAATAACAAGCGGCAAGTTAACCCAAATATTACAGAAATAGAACCAGGGTCATACCATTTAGTTCGAGAAATATATACAGACTTACAGATAAAAGTAGGTCAGATTTATAATAACTTTTGCCGCTGTTGCAAACTAGAAGGKAATAAGAAAACTCGTTTTCAGTTGCTCTGTCAATGACCGACTCTACCACAAATCCAAAATACTTGGCAACCACCAGGGACCGAACACTGAAACCTTYTCCACAAAAAGCATAACGGATATAAGCAGTTTCAGTGAGAGTTCCAAATGGTTTGAGAGCAGCGATGAAACGAGATAGCAAGATTTTCAAGTCCTACAATAGGTCATCAAAATGGCGCATACAGCACTAATTGAGTCCATGGTGCCAGCACTGTTATCTAACTACTTATTAGACGAGTCCGAGTACAATTCGAATAGATGGTATATTTTTCTTTTTAGACAGGTAGATCAAGAGAAGTTGTTTTATTATTAAAGCAGTGCTKCGAAGAATTATATATCGACATAACACAATTTTTGGCCAAATCATATGCAGTGTAAAGTCAATCAGAATACCATGATCATGACATTCAATAGTTGAGCGTAAGGAAGGTATAAATGAACAGCGATTATTTCTGAATCCCACCTCACGTCAATCATGAAAAGATTGGTTCGTACTTAGTTTTCTTGTCATCACCAATGCTTGACATAAAAATCTATTAGTTTTAACTTCCGTGGCTTGCAAGATATGCTCTCACAGACAACCGATATATGTTGGCTTAACGAAACTCTTTGTACGACATGTGACGAGCGTGTAAAATCATAACCTCAACGCTTTCACATCCGGTCGTGCAACATCTGCCGCCCTTTTCACCCTTTCCAATTGCCAAAGATAAATGCAATAATTTGAAATTTTTCTAAATCATGATTTTATTAATCTCTGCATGTGTTCAGTACAATTAAATGTGTGTTTGTTTGTGTTCGTTTATGTTGTTGTTTGTTGTTTACATTTCATTATTCTTATTATGCTCCAATGCTAAACTATTATTATTCATTTACATATATTAATGTTGCATTACTAAGAATATATATTTATGTATATGTATACTATGTTATTTATTTTGCGTTTTTTTTTTTGCTTTTGTTGTTGTTGTTTTACACCAAACCATCAATCCGCTGTTATTATCTTTGGTATATCATTATCATTATTGTATGCCAAGGATAGATGAAACTAACTATGTATATATGTATTCATATGCACTGGTCTGCATGTATGTGTGCACCACATATGTTTGTATGCACTGTTCGAGCTCTGAGCATTGAAAACGAAMTAATTGTGAAATGCATTATAAAATTACTTTATATTACTCTATTTACTTTACTCTAATATATGTATGTACAAATTTGATGTATTTTTGGTTAAATCTTGTTTGTTTTTGTTTCTGTTTCTGTTTTTTTTTATGAGTTCGATTTGTAATATATTAATCTTAAAATGCTACAGCACACTTTGCGCTTAGTTGAAAAGAATTATCGCTATTTTTGTTTACTATGTACAGTTATGCTTTTATTTTTCCATAAAAATGAAACGAAAGTTGCTTACAAATATTTTTCACTAATATTTATCTTTATATTTAGACACTGCTTCTGCTTAGCATTTATTTTTATATAAAATTGATTTTCTTTGCTTGCATTCCACACTCTTTCACAACTAACAAATATGACTGAATATAAAAACAAAAAGTATATAAAAATTTATTCAGACATTTTGTTAATAGAGTCTTTCTTCAAACTCCATTGTCTCTGCAAGAGAGGTGTTAATGGCAAAGGCCAGCATTCTGTTGCTTGTAAAACAAATAGACAGAAAATATATACTGCATGAAAAATTCTAGTTTGTCCGCGCCGAAATGTAGGCAACAGCGTACCCAATATCGGCCCTGCTTCTGGAAGTTAAGAACAGTTAGGTAATTATATCCATGAACTCTACTCCGATTGTTGTTTCATATGGCAGCTAAATGCTAACTTATTTTTTTATACCATTATGTGGTAAATATATCAAAGAAGATTGCTAGTTTCCTATTTGAGATTCTATTAATGGGAAAAATGAAAATGTAGAGTTTTTGAATTTCACAAGTGGATATAACCTTTAAGGTTACTTTCCATAGCATATCGTCACATAAAATCCGAAACAACGCTTCAYCAAAATAAATTGAAATTGATTTTTTTTATAGCTACATGTATGCAGTAAGAAATTTTCAGCTGCTGTCAGAATTACCAATATATAACCATTTTATAACTGTTTTATAACAAGTATACAACGATTATATAACCATTTCATAACCAATTTATAACCACTTTATAACCAAAACTCAAATTGTGTTTCATTATGAGTGGTTTCTACTTTATCGCTTTTCCTTCGCCTATAAAAAAAGTGATGTTGTGTTACTTTGTATTTTAGGTGACGATATAATTAACGCTAATATTTGGGCAGAAAAAATTTCAACACTTTTTCAAAATATTGGATTCGTGGCGTATTTTGAAAATATGTTTGAAATGTTACATAAACACATATCCAGAGACACACTTGGTTTGTTTTTTAGGAAAATTTCTAAATCAAAAAAATCAAATAAATCTTTAAATGAAGACTTTCTGCGGAATAAACACTTTCAAGTCCACTTTGTTGTTACAATTATAAATTTGTTTCATTTTGAAAGTGGCTTGCACTTCAATTTTGGTTTATTGTACATTTGCATTCGATTTTCTTTACAGCGAGAAACAATTTCTTGCTTCACCGTTATGTCCTACTGTTTGGTTTCATATTTACTTAACTGTTAATGCGTTGCAGCACGTGAAAATCTAACTGCTTTTAGCATCTAAAATTTAAATCTGCATTTCGCCTCTAACTCCATCCTCTATTCCCCCAATTACACAATATACAGAACTATATAAATAYATTTTATGTGTGTGTGTGTGTTAAGTGGCTGGTTCATTGTATTACAATTTGTGTTTAATGTTTTCGCTCTTATTTGGAAATTGATTTACCTTTAAAATTAACTTAAAACTATTGACTCGTTCAGTTCGCTTACTATTTACATATATATGCGCGCGTTTAGCATTCAATTGCTGTCGCCGCTGAACTGGTTGCATTGACAATTAACGCCAGCGCAGCGCCGCAGCTGACGGCATGTGTGTGGGTGTATGTGCGTGTGGAAATGGAAATTCAAAACTGTGTGGAAACTGCATATGCATTGCCTTTATGAGCATATGAAAATGCAAACYCACACATACACACAACTCTATACAATTATTTTTCAGTTGGTAAGCGGCGACAGCTTGTCTAATCGCACGTTGATCAGTTTCCAAAAAAAAATCGAATTTTTGTAGTATTCATTTACACGTTTCGCGTTTCGAATGAGCACTGTTCACAAAAAGTATCTAATTCGAAACTAATAAAATATTTACAGCCCAAATGGGTTTAATTGTGCAATATTTATTTACATACATATTTAAATGTTAAATATTAGCTTACAAACAAATGCTGCCGCAATTTCGCAAAATTCACCATTGATTGGAAACATTATTTAGACCAAATCGACGTTTTGAGGAATTTCATATGGAAATGCTTCCGGTCATTCAGTGTAATTACAAGCTGTTTCAAAATTTGGGTTTATATTAGCGCTAATCYGCACCGAATAGAGAAGTTCAAATGGTTGTAGCAATAATTAATTGGTTTAAAATAATTTTTTAGAAAATTGTTTTTATTATTTATTTGTGTTTAGTGCAGTCCAATCTTACGACCTTGCCCTTTCAGCTACCAAAAAAAATTACAAATTGCATAATTGAGAATGTTTTTTGTTTTTTTTCAGAATATAAACCCTTCGTTTTGCTGTCAGTGACATTGAAAATTCATAAATTCAGCATTTGCTGCGCTTGCTGGAGCCAATAAAGCTCCATGCAACTGTTGCAAAGGTGAGCTGAAATCGATTGTCGACATAAAATTAAAAATAATTTACTCTATTAAGTTAAACGTATATGTAATTAGCGGGAAGCATATATTTATGTACAGCCTTACAAAAATGGGGTTTCATAAAATAATGTTTATTATTACAAATGACTACTATATATTTAAAAAAAAAAAAWTKTWGCCACTYATTATTGCAAATTTTAAACGATTAATTTTTTAATTTTCAATATGTGTTGCTCAAACGCTCTGGCGGCCATAATCATAATTACACACACACACGGATGGCGGAGTATCTCCTCTCAGCCATGAAATGAACACACGCATACTCGTTACTTCTACCATTTCATTACAAACACATATACAAAAAGTAGGCGTGCACATATTACATCTGCAAATATATTCCCTTTAATATATCTGAAATTATTGATAATGAGAAATGCGAATCAGACTGCACTTTAATACTATTGACATATCTAAAAAGAATTCAAAACAAAAAAAAAAAAAAAAGAAAAAAAAACATAAAAAAAAGATTAATTAAAATAATTTGCAATTTTCTACTCTCGTAGTGTAGTAAAGAGTGAAAAAAGCAAACGACAAACCGCTTCCCCTCAAGTGAAGAACCGAGTATGGTTAGGGATGGTTTTATGCTTGTTGAGTTTGAACTCCGTCAAACACCTTACAGGCGAGAGAAAGTGAAACCTCATGAAGTAAAATTGAATACATAAAATTCTTTATACCTCTTTATATCAGTTCGATGGTATGTTCGATTCGCCACTTTATTTCATAAACTAAACTATATCAATTTTGAATCTTTGTTCAAATTTCGCTCATCATCATAAAATATAAATACATGTTGCTGAGTCCGACTAGAGATCGGAAAAATATTATATATTGCTAATCATGCGTTGCCACTGGAAGCAAGTGTATGGAAGTTTTGCGAACGGTAACGTCATAATTCAGCGAATCAAGAGACAGCGTCTGCGCTGGGTACGTCATGTCATCATTCGGTGAAGTACTAGCCGGGGGAAGCATAAGAAGGGGAAGGAATGGAAAAGACCTCTACTCAGTTGGAAAGGCCAAATGGGGAAGGATCTAGCTACGCTTGTAATCTTCAATTGGCCCTAAAAAGCGAAAAGCAATAACAACTGGCGCTCTTTTGGAAACTGGTCGATAACCGCGTAAGTGATACCTAAGACAATATGTCTACTTCAGCTTCAGCCATAGTCTGGCGAACGCTGGATTATGTCAGCGAGCTGAGGGCGCTCCCCGAGGCAAATACACAATTGAACAAAATTGACTTAAGTGCGGTTTCGTAAAGTCAAATAAAAACTATTTTTTGTGAGAGACCCGACCGTTTCTCATTTTGAAATTATTGAGCTGCCAATATGCGTAAGTAACGCAGATGTTGTGCAAGATTTCAAATTATTTTGCCGTTATAAATAAAAATGTATCACCTATACATTAACCATCTTAAAAATTGCGTGCCATGTGACCTTCGATAATTTTTTTTTTATCGATATATCACTTCGTTATATTCATTTTGAAATTAGTAAAAGAAGACATTTTCGGCACGTTTTTTATACATTTTTTACCATGAGACTATGAGATATTCAGAGAAAGCTTTTATCTTTGATAGCTCTTACTGGGAGAAAACTATAAAAATATTCGTTATTCATAGAATTAGAGCACTCCAAGTAGGCACTGTAAATAACATTAGGAACTCCTTTTTTAACACTTTTATTACACAAAATAACAGTACAAACCAAATTCGTAAAGAATTTTCTGAAATGGCAGCTTATGTGTATAACTGTAAATAGATGATGATTAAATGAAAAACTAGTACTGGTTAAGCTCTCTCTGAACCAGTGCGTATTGCTGTGCGGTGTCAATATTTACATGCATACCCACACACATTCACACACATACAGTGACAATTTCAACTATGGCTAATAAGTCTTACATGTTAAGGTTACCTCATCAAGGTGCCACACTCGAAGAGAGCAATTCAATTGCCGACCTCCAGGGGTTGGCGCCTAAACACTATTCACCTGCACACTTAAAATTACGCTATTAAATTATACAATTTATATATATATATATATATATATATATGTGTGTGTGTGTGTTTGTGATAGAATCCTCAGTTACAGTTGATGGCTTATTCGCTATGATTTTTGTTTTACCTCTCTTCTTGTTTTGTTATAATTATTATTTTCACTACAAGTGTTTGTCTTATATTTCACTACAGTTATTTAATTTCTGGAAATCTCTTAATATATCTATGCATGTATTTCTAAGGTTGCGTGCGTTTATGTGTGTGTTATATTCATCCACAGCTTAACTTATCAGTTTGTCAGTAGTACGTTTTCCATTAGTGTGGGTGTGCGTGTGTGTGGGTGCGCGTGTAGGAAAGTAAAAGTAATTTCGTAAAAATTTCTAACCCAAATGGCCGTACAGCGAGCGTGTGCGTTCAATGAGAAAAATGTGGCAACGCGGCGCGAAGTCACGCTCAAGTCGGCAGTAAACTGGTCATACGCTGACGCGGCACTAGCGCGCCTAGCACTCCAGCTGGGCGCAGGCCGGAGGGCGGAGGCGCCACGAGTAATTCGAATGCAGGTCGCAAAGTGCGCGGCTAGAGACTCGCGCTTATTCGTTAAAATTGCTGGTGTTTGCTTAATGTGTTCCAGGGTGGTGAGCGGCGCGCAAACCCACACACACACACACAAGCGCAGCGCTCGCCGTTTAATCACCAGCTGCGCCTGGTCTCTTGCGGCATAGCGCGCCGAAGAACCTTCAACCGCGCTGGTTGCGGCACTTGAGTGCGTGAGTGCTTTAACTTTAATGCATTTACGCCCTTCTACATGCGTCGGCGCCCCGCGCAAAGCGCCTGCAACTGCTCCAGCCCAGCGCCCAATTCCATTTGCGGCGAGTCAACGCCTGTGCGACCCTACAGCGTGGCGCAACTGTTGCGTCAACTACTTCATTTCACCCGCTGTCTGTACATGTGTTGGTGTGTATGCTGTGTATGTGTGTGTTTGTGTGTGTATGTGCGAATAGCAGTATAATTGTTTGTGCTCGGTCTCAGCTTCATCTTCATCTCGTAATTTTGCTGAGTGCGCGTGTTGCATGCGAACTTCTTGCGGTTGCACCGCTAATGCTAATGCGGCTCGGGCTGCGGCTACGGCTGTGTCTTTGGTAGTGGCGCCTCTGGCAGCTCCCTATACTCACACACCTGCCGACGTCGTTGGCCCGAGCTGTGCTCTGTGCTGCTGATGTTAAGGCTTTGCACTCGCTTCCGCAGCCGTCGCCATCGTTATTGTTGCTGGTGTTGCTTCTGCTGCATTTGCTGGTGCCTCTGGTTGCCACCGTGAGTAGTGTTGCAGCCGCTGTTGTTGTTGCGAGGAAGTGTTGCAAACAGCAAGTGAAAATTGTGAAGAGCATGCAACAAATGCTGCAGTAGAAATTGCCGCTGTACATGCTGCTCGAGTTGTGTTGCATGGCGGCGGGGTGTTCACCTGCAAAGAGCAGAGAGGAAAGATTCGAATAAGAAAATTACGTAGCAACTCTGCGGTCATGAATAAGTGAGCGTGTGTACGCCTTAAACTACAAGCTTTGAAGTACTTAGGAGATGAAGAAATAAATGCGTGAGTGAATAAGGTAAGTGTGCGTTCTTTCCTGAGGCGCTTCTGAGTGTGAAGAAACAGTTGAAGGTCCACTAATGCCGATTGCGCTTCAAAAGGTTATGAAGTTGTTCATGTTGAAGACTTTCTGGAAAACCTTTAGAAATATTTATTTCCTTATTTACTTATATTTCTCCAAGTGAATACTCTTCGAGGGTCTCTCAGCTTCCAGATAAAGAGCAGTAGTCCGCATGGATACCTACATCACTTAGACTAAGTCACATAACCTAGAAAATCTCGAACTAAGTAAACTCCGAAGCTCCCTTTTAATACATTTTCAGATTTTTAGTTACCAAGTTGTTTTGTTTAGCTTTCGTTTGAATTGTTTGCCCATTTTGGCTATCCCCGAATTCTGATGAAGTAAAATTTCTTAAATTTTTTATAGTAAACCATTTAGAAATTAAGATCATAAACCTGTTATGATCCATTACCTTGAAGGACGAGTTAAAACTTCTAAAAGCCGAGATCGACTAAAAAACACTATAATATCTTCTGCAAAACTTCGAGCTCAAGCGTCTACATTCACTGTATGATTAAATCGACTATTCAAGCATTATGTGCATTCCGTACAACCCTCTCGCCGCTTTCGTACTTATGCACTAAAGCATTTCTGCAAAAGGGCCAGTGTTGAGATGCCGCACCGGGGTCTTTCGTTCCATTCATTCCGTTCGCTCCTATTGCACAATTAAAAAACATTGTGTATTTATGTTGTTTACATGGAGTAGGTAACAGTAAACACAAACATCACGAAGCGGGTACAATGCAAAAGTCTATAAAGTAACGGTACTGCGCCAGTTGAAAAGGCAAGGCATGAACTATTCTAGAAAGTTGAAAAACGACCACAGCGTGGGCAGATGAAGAGGCGTGGGCAGGTGAATGTGGGAAATGATAGCTGCTGCAAGCCACACGCACAAACACTTGCAGCTACTTCTGCACTTGTATGTGTTTGTGCCTTCTAGTATACTTTGGCTGTGTAGAACTGCAGGCGCCATTCCCGTGCATCCTTGGCCGGGCAACCAAACCAACTGGAAGTGGCCGATAACATAAATGGCTATTTCTATTATTTAGTTCATTCGCCCCCCTCTCTTTCCCGCTCTTGACTACCACTTTTTCGCTTTTGTAAAATGTTGCAACTCACGTAATGTGTAGTGGCATTAGAATTTGCTGCAGTTGCATGCAACTTTATTTCGAAAATAAAAAAGTTTCTTATTTAGTGTCCAGCGCGTTGGATTTTGTGCGTGTATGCAGTCGCCTTTTTATTTTGGCGTCTCACTTCCGTCACTCACACTATGTTGCAGTAATTGCTGATGGCAAAATCCGCCGCGACTGATACTTTGACTTTGAGTTGCATCGCTCGATTGATGAGTTGTATCTCGATGTCTACCCTCACTAACTACTCTCGAATAACTCGAAAGATCATGTAAACCCGCGTTCGAAGATTAGGGCTAATTAAAAGTCACACGGATTTAATCAGAGTGCTATATATGTGTGATCTGTTGCAAGGTCTGGTAATGGCAAAGAAATTCCTGATCATAAAGAAACTAAGGTTAAGTTACCTTAAGGTTCGGATCCACCATGATTGCGTGAGGTTCACACATAGACTTTGAGAAACCAGGTAAAAGCTCTTGTAGTTATGTATTGGCTCTAGACAAAACGCCTTGAACCTATCACAAATCTGCTTCGAGCTTTATTTCTTTTTCCGCTATTTCACCCGGATTTCTAAAAGCATGAGATCCCAGGCACTTTGTCTTTTTTTTTTTTTTTTGTTTTTTGTATCTGCTTAAGTCGGGTTATTCGAGGAGAATAAGTGTTAAAGTTATTCTATCTTAATTTCTTACAATCAGCTTATGCTACTAACAAGCGGTAAAATTGTCAATCTTACATGATTCCCTACCGTGTAGTGACCAGTTAACACATCTATAACTACTAAAATCCGAACTTGGCTGAAAACCTACTACTAGACCTACAACGGTCTTTACCTTAGGCCTACGACTTTACAACTGTTAGTATCTGATCAGTGCTCGCCCCTCTGAGGGCCACCCAGTAACTACAAGAAGCCAGTGGAGGGAGCTCCCACCTGTTCAGGTAATTCCGCTATGACCAAACAGCAAAAAAATGTTTGGCCCGTTTCTTTTTCGGCTGCCTTATTTAAACCATTTTTTAACCACTTGATAATATACTGAGCGAATAACTGAATTAAATTTTTTTCAAATAAGGACACTGAGCACCTCGTGCCACATCACGAATAAAATTTCTACACTTGACCAGAATTATTCCAATTCGGATGTGAAAATCATTTAAAAGAACTATTTTACAATTTCTGTTACACCTAGCGTTCTCACGAACAATGAAGTAATCAAGGCGACGCAAGTGAGATAAGCGAGGTAAGGACAGGAACTTAAACCGCACAAAGTAAAAGTAAAAAACATATTTGTTGCGAGTGGCAGTTAAGCTACTGCATGAAGTATAAAATGAGATGTGCCTAAGGCAAATGGAAATTTTGCTTGCATTACACAATGATAGGAGCTCACATCCTTCGCGAAAGATATGTAAGCTGACATATGGCAACATATGTAAGGCTACTTAGATATGTACTTAGGCGTGAGTTCTAGCTTGGAGGCAATTTGAAAGCTAACGCCAAGACGAGCACCATTTCAGTGCTAAACACTACAAGTGCTTAAACGGCTGCTTTTTTTTAAAGATAGGACCTTGCAGAAAACTTTCTCGCTTAGAATTATGAGCACAAGAAATATATACATAAAAAATTAATTTTTGATTATAATCCAATCTACAAAAATTACGGTCATTCTCGAAAGAGTACCAAAGGACAAGCCGTATTTGATCACACACATCAAGCGATAGACCAAGCGTGGACCAATTCAGAAAGCGCTCAACGATCGTGGCATCGTCTACTTTCAGATAAAATTTCATATCTCAAAACTCACCAAATAAATTTCGACTGATTTCTTTGTTCCTTGAAGTTATTTTTCATAAAAGTTTGCCTTGGAGACCAAACTGGATGTAAATATTGTTTAGATTTTCCGTAGATATAGGAATGTGCCACTGACTAAAAAATTTTCGCCGAAAAATCGAAGTTTTAAGTTGTAAAAAGTGAACCCTTCAATATGATGGTGAAGAGATAATACGAAGCTTGGCTTTAGCATTGAAGTACTTTTTTCCTCCAGGGCATGCGCATGACCAACGGCAGTGCAACTGCCGTCTAAATGCTTACAAATTGCAGAAGGCATGGTCGCTCTCGGTGCTAAGTAAAAAGAGCTAGTAACAATGGCACTTGAAACAGAATCAAAAATGAAAACAAAGCCAGACCTCGGAGCGCACAAACAGCTATGCGAAGTAGAACGAAGCGAAGCAGCCGAAGTGAGTGAATGGCTGAAAGCCAATTGACAGCAGCGCTCTCTGCCAACACTCTACGTACTAACATGAMTACAACAACAACATAATTGCTAAATGAACATCTCTGCAGCAGCACTGGGACTGCCCGGAACAGTGTTGCAATAACGGAAATGTTAGACACACAGCAAAAAGACGAAAAGCAACACCGACGAAGGAACGTCACCTGCGACACAACATCGCCTAAGGCGAAACAGCAACACACAGACTCACATAGAAATTTAATAGTTCGCAGTGTCAAAGGCTGACCGGTCAACGGATAGCCTGAGTAAATAGCTGTGCGCCCCAAGTGGAATAAATAAATGTAGCATGATGCACTGGGAAATACTGAGCATTGCCCCAGCGAGTACGTGAGTGGAAAAGTGCCGGAAATGCAACGCTGCGTTTGTGCGAAAGCCATGCGACAGGCGCTAGGCAGTGAGCAATTGGACGCGGAGCGAGTCGAAGCTGCAAAGACTTTCTAATGAGCCTGCTGGCTGGCGGCAAGCGACAGCGCGGACTAGCGCGACCTGAAAATATTGGCACAACCTTTTAGTAAAAATATTATTATTTTGTTTGCTGCCTTAGGCCACACAACACGACACATAGACAAAGGTTTTGGCGGCAGAGGAGTTTTGCAATGCAACACCTTATTTTCTGCGCTGCTTGCAACACACTCCACATGCCATTGTGACGGATTGCCGCGCACATTTTAAGTGGCCTGCCAAATGACTGCAGCGCTGCGCGGGCATCAAGATTGCCCAGCGTCCTGCTGCAGTGTCGCGTGACGCGGCTGTGTGACTGCGCCATTTTGTTGCTGTTGTTTCGGGTAATCGACCGTTAAAGCGGCCTCGCCATTTGCTTTTGTTTGCAAAGCGCAATGCATTTCCTCTCAATTCAACCGAAAGCCCCTTCACCACACACAGCCCTCCGCACAAGCATTTGCACTTATTTATTTATTTTGCCCTCTTCGTCTGCTTTGCGTGAAGAAAAGCTTCTTTCTTGGTGTGCACTCAGAAAGAAAGCAAACATTTACCCAAAGCATTGCAAAAAATGCAACAAAAACTGTAACAAAATTGCAAAAACGAGTGGCTAGAGAAAATAGTGTAGTAGTTGTTGCATAAAAGAAACCATTTGGCACAAGTTTATTTATCGCCAGCGGCGCCGCAATTTCAGTCTGTATCCAGCAACACCGTTAGAACGCATTTACCCACACAGCAACACTCGCATTGAAAGCAAGTTGTAAGCTGCCACACAAAGCCACGCGCATATCTGCTTACCACATGGACACATATATATATATATATATATACTGACATACAAACACAAAGATATAACGGCTGGTGTGTAAGTGCTTTATTGTATGTGTTGTATAAATATTGGTGTGTAGTTAATTATTTTTTGCCGCTCGAGGCACTTCCTGTATACACAGTCGTCAGCCTTTG